ACACTTTTTCATTTTCTAAGCGTTTGGTTAAGGTCTTAAACTGTTCAAAAGCCTCATCCTTCTTGGCTAGAAAGAGAACCCACGTGAACCTTGAATAGTCATCCACTACCAGAAAGGCATATGACTTTCCCCCATAGCTGGTCACATTTGAAGGCCCAAACAGGTCTAGATGCAGAAGTTCTAAAGGTCTGGAAGAGGATATAACTGGTTTACTCTTAAAACTGGTTCTAGTTTGCTTCCCTTTGGCACACGCATCACAGAAGAACTCTCGTTTTTCATTTATCTTAGGTAAACCCCTAACCAATCCTAGTCGAGCTAGTTTAGATAGAGTGTTCACATTTACATGACCAAGACGTCTGTGCCAATCTTCTTGCAGATTTTTATCTAGGCTTATTAGACACGTCTCATTAAAACATTCTTTATCATTTAGATCTATTGAGTAAATTTTACCATTCCTTTTTCCTGTGAACAGAATCTGTTTAGACTTAATGTTTTCCACATAGCAACAGTTAGGTTCAAAAATGACCCTGCATTCTTTGCCACACATTTGACTTATTGACATGAGATTGTGCTTTAAACCTTTGACTAGCATGACATTTCTTATGGAAGGACACGACCCTACTTGACCTTTTCCAATTATCTCAGCTGAATTGTTATCCCCAAAGAAAACCTTACCATATTTTCCTAATTCCAGTTTTGAAAACAAAAGTTCATTACCTGTCATATGATGTGAGCACCCACTATCCATAATCCACTCAGAGGTCTCCATGCTCACTTGAAGACATCTCTGTGGATTCAGTTGAGGTTGAGACATGACTTCTTCCTCCTCTGTCTCCTCTACAACAGCCATGTATGATCGATGTACTGTGACTTCATCATCCTCATCTCCTTCTTCTTCACTCCCACTCCAAGTTGCAGCATAGGCTTTTTCACGCTTAAGAAACGGACATTATGCTTTAATATGTCCAGATCTCCCACATTTGAAGCAGCCAGTAGATCCAATCCCCTTCGAACCTCCTTCGTTTCTAATTTTTGGAACTATCCGAGCTTGCCCAATCTTAGTTGTACCTTCGTTTATGTCAATATCCCGTGACTTTGATCCTCCCAATTTTTTCTCCTTTCGAAACCTCAGAAGCCGACTTATCTGTTTGCTCAACAGAGCAAGCTCCTCATCTTCCATGTCTTCTAATTCCTCTGCATCATCAGACAAACTTGTAGCCTTGAAAGCAATTCCTCTTTTTCCTTTATCACTATTCTCCTTCTCGATTCCTCCTTTCATCAGTTTATCCTCATGAGTGGACAGTGATCCGATTAGCTCATCTATAGCAAGTTAGATCTTTTGCCTCCTCAATTGCAGTCACCTTAGGTGTCCACTTATCAGGCAAACTCCACAGAATCTTCCTTATCAAATCTCCACTTTCATATGATTTGCCTAAGTTCTCGAGGCTGTTCACTATGTTGGTGAACCTTTCATACATTTGACGAATAGTTTCACCTTCCTCCATCTTGAACAACTCAAATTGATGTTTAAGCGAGTTGATTCTAGATGTCTTGACTTGAGAAGTGCCTTCGTAAGTTACCTGAAGCTTATCCCAGATTTCCTTTGCTGTCTTGCATCCTGCCACCTTGTGGTACTCCTCTGGACCTAACGCACAGTACATCAAGTTTGTAGCTTTGCAGTTTTGCTGAAACTTTTCATAGCCTTCATCAGTCCACTTCTCTTGATCTGCCTTCAGCTCGTATGGTCCTTTGACGACTCTCGCCCACAGCTTGGGATCTGTTGAACCAACAAACAGCTCCATGCGATTCTTCCAATAACCATAATTTACCCCTTCAAAGCGAGGAGGTCGATTCTGCGAAAATCCATCCGCGAGGTACAGTGGAGCATTGCTTGAAGAACCTGACGCCATCCTGGATCTCGCCAAGGGTTGCTAACCCTCCTAGATTGACGACCCTGCTCTGATACCACTTGTTGAAGGCGTCGAGCGCGAGATGCCTATTAATTTTCGTCGATCAGATTTCCCTGCAAACCCTAACCCGACTCTCGACTATGATCAGTGAAGGAAGAAATACAAATGAACTGAGAAAGTGAGATTGCAAATCAAACAGATAATAGAAACAGATGGACTTCAGACCCTGGGCTTGAGTTTAATTAGGCCCACTGATATTCAGGCCTTGAATCAAGCCTGTAGTGCACAGATCCACCTTTGGTCTAAACTGTGCGTTTTAACAACAACTTTAGTGTTGTTTCCTTGGAGCCAAACGAATTCAGCTCCCCTGTTTCTCAACGAATACCGAGTCCTGCAAACAGAGACAGTCACAGTAAACAGGTAACAAGAACGATAAAGGCTATAACACGTTTTTACGTGGTATCCAGAGCTGGGTAAAATGATCCCCAACTCTGACTAATCCATGGACGAGATATCACTGATGTGTGATTCTCGCCAATCCACTAAGTATGCTGCGTTTGTTGCTCCGATTCAGAGATACACTCTTAGACTTAGTTACCCAACCCTTACAGGAAGGATAATCCTTTTATCCCAGTATTTCTTTCTCCTCAGCTATCCAGCTACTTTTCCCAACCTCTAAAACACTATCAATCCAGATCTAGTGTTTAGAGCCGCTCTTCCTATCTCTCGTTGCTTACAACTCTCTTTGTACTCTTGAACGAGATTTTCCCGAAAAGCAACTTCAATTACTTGACTCTGATCTTTTATACTTCTTCACAGCTACCCGTTAGTGTCAGAGTGAGGCAACTTGAAATTCTTTCCTTAAGAGCCTCTCTTGCGTGGATCCTTTGCCGAATCAAATCATCCACCATTTGCACGATTTCTTTCCCTCTGTAGAACCTTGTATCCCACGTTTCCTCCTTCAAATTCTGTGATTAATGGCTGGCTTGCTGACTTGCTCACAACAGAGTCCACCATAGCTGTTTGGAGCTCATGTTCAGTGGGCAGCACCTCATCAGACGACCCTTGCCAACCAGTCAAAACACCCTGCTCTATAGACTTGACCAGATTTGCTACAGCCAGATTCAGATTTCTACAAGCAGCTTCTGCAGATACCTGAGCTTTGCCCTTTGAGGCCGCAGGGGTTTTATTAGGGCTTTGACCTTTGTTTTGACTTTGTTTCAGCTCCAATTCCAAAAGAAACGAAACATTCGAGTCCCCCTTTCCGCCTTTCGTCACGTGTTAGGTTTTAGCGGAGAAGCCATAGCTGGAAACCAGTAACAAGAAGGAGGAACTGAGGAAGAAGAACAAGGATGCTGTACGTAATAGGGTTGGGATTGGGCGACGAGAAGGATATCACCCTGCGAGGGTTAGAAGCAGTGAAGAAGTGTGAGAAAGTGTTCATGGAAGCTTACACTTCTTTGCTCTCTTTCGGCCTCTCCGACGACGGAATCGCTACTCTGGTAAGTGTTCTTCTTCTTGTTCTTCTTCCGATGTCGATTGTCAGTCCTGATCAAATTTTATTCCATGGGAGCAGGAAAATCTGTACGGGAAGCCGATTACAATCGCCGACAGGGAGATGGTGGAGGAGAAAGCCGACGAGATTTTGTCCGCCGCTGGTGCCTCCGATGTCGCCTTCCTCGTCGTCGGAGATCCCTTCGGGTGAGATTGTAGGAAAACTTCTCATCTTATTCGAGCTAGTTCTGTTTTGAAATTGGTGAATGAGCTGATTTGTGGAGATTTGGCAGAGCTACGACGCATAGTGATCTAGTGGTTCGAGCTAGGGAATTAGGGATTGGGGTTAAGGTAGTGCACAATGCGTCCGTGATGAATGCGATTGGGGTTTGTGGATTGCAGCTCTATCGTTATGGCGAGACTGTTTCGATTCCGTTCTTCACTGATGTTTGGAGGCCTGATAGCTTCTATGAGAAGATACAGAAGAATAGGGAGCTTGGATTGCATACTCTCTGCTTGCTAGGTGAGAATTAGATGTTTGTGGTTGATCCTCTTCAGCCACGGAAACTTGCTGCAAGTTTTTTTGAGAATGTGTGGAGAAATTCTTACATTTGGGTTTGTTGCTGTAGATATTCGAGTGAAGGAGCCTTCGTGGGAGTCCTTGTCGAGGTTTGGATACGCAGAAAGCAACCATTGTGTTTACGCCTTTTGGTTACCTGTAGATTACTTTTGTTCTTAAACCGATTCTCTCTGCTTGCTTTTCTATTCAGGGGGAAGAAGAAGTATGAACCACCAAGGTACATGACTATAAACACTGCAATCGAGCAGCTGCTGGAAGTTCTACAAAAGCGCGAAGGATCTGGTATGTAAAGAGAAACCCTAGAAATCTATATACATGTTTGAATGCCAATTGCTTTGTTCTAAAAGTCTGCGGTCAGAAAGCTTTAAGCAAGCTTCCATGTCAATGGGTTCCTGCATTGGACATCATTGCCTAGCAATTGATTGCCAAAAACTTAAGGTCCCCACTATGAGCTGAAAAAACTTCCTTATGCTCATTGTTCATGCTGCAAAATTACAGGATTGTTCTGATGTCATGATAAAAATATGTATTCTGGATTAATCAGTTTAGTTGACTGTCCCGAAATGTGACTTGTTCTGCAGCATACGATGAAGATACCGATTGTGTTGGGTTTGCCCGGGTGGGAAGTGAGGACCAGAAGATAGTTGCTGGGCCAATGAAGCAACTACTTTCAGTCGATTTTGGTTCACCTTTGCATTGCCTTGTGATAACAGGCCAGACACATCCATTGGAGGAAGAAATGCTGAACATCTACCGGCTTAATACAAAAGATGATTCAGACCAGAAAGTTAAAAAGAGTGTATAATTTCCTTGGTTGTCGAAGCAACAATTGTAACCTGATGACTCGAGTTATAACAGAAATCCCATTTATGGAACCTTGAAATCTTGTTTTGCCTATTGTTCGGAGAAATTGAGCCACACATGCTGTGCTAAAATGATTTTGGCGCCATTTTGTTACTTAATTACATGACAAACAACATTTCATTTGTGGTCAATTTAAAAAACGCTTCAGATGAGCAGGTCAAGTCTCTTTTGTGGCATTGACCTCAATTTCTAACCATATGATCCTGGTTTTGAGTTAGGTGAGAGAAATCAAAGGATGGTCAAAGGTGAAGTCTCTCTGTTGTCATCTGATTAGCTATCAGGCAGTAGGGCAGTAAAGGAAACAATTACAATGGTATTTAGCAGCAATAGCTTTCTGAAGTCTGAACTGCTGTAATCCGATCCATTAGTTTGAACTTCGTCAGTAACTCTATCAACAAGCTCTCTAGTAAAAAGACTACACATCTATGGTGACATGGCTCTAAAACCCGAAAAGCGTCGAAAAATTAAACCCATCACACTTCCCCTGCAACCAAGCCAACCTGAACGCGTCACCTTTCAACGACATAAACGTCTCCCTCAAGCTGGGATCGTCAAAGAGATCCAGTGCAGCAAAATAGAGTCTTTGGTCGACACCCTTAATCTCATCCAAAGCTCTGATGCAACTGGTTATGCTATACCTTTCGTCCCTCCTCTGAGTTTTCGCAGTTGTTTCCCTCTCTTTGAAAGCTGCGATCATATCATGTAAAGCTGCAGCAACAGATTCACGCTGTTCATCACCACCACCGTCCTGCTCCAATTCCAGATGTGTTTCGGATGGCTGCTTCCTTTTCCTCTCTCCTACGGACTTAACAGCTTTTTCCGAGGGTTGTAGTACTGGCATTGGAGTTGGGGGATCTTCTTCGTTCTCAGGATGGGATGCTTCTGGACAAGGAACTGCATGTGTTGCACTATTATCCAGTCCTTCAAAGTGACTGGATTGAGCATATTTCCCATCTACCGATGTATCTGAAAATATCGTGCACAGTTGACCGTATATCGGGCAGTCCTTGACTTTGCCCGTCTCCTGCCTGACTGGTGTCTGGAACTCAGAAGAAGAAGTGGATGTAACAAACAGAACGCAATGAGAATTAAAATAATCAGAGACTTTAGAAGCAAAAATTAACGCACCGAGCAGTCTTCCCAAAGGTCAAATGCAATGCAGCAAGACTCATCAATTGCAGCAAAGTCAGTTTGAGCAGAGGAAGAAGACTTCGTTAGGCTGAAGAAGCGTGTCCGGAGGACATCAAAGTGTTTTCTCAACTGGTTGTTGTTGAAATTGAGATCGGTTTGTTTGTTGAATTCGTTTCGTATGGTGTTCCAAGTCTTCTTATCAAAGACATTGTTTCTTCTGTTTCCAAGCTGAATCTGCTTCACAACCAAGTCAGCAAATACCTTATCTAGGACCGGGGTCCACCTTGTTCTGGCTCGTTCTTGTTTCATGTGATTAATTGGTTGCACCTCCATCTACAACAAGCAACTGTGCAGTTGAAATGATTTGATACAACAATGATAGGTTCTATAACAGCAACAGAAACTACTACATAATGAGCTGAAAGATTGAACATAACGAGTATATTAGCCAAGTAAGTTATCGGAGACAAGTTACAATTATGTTTATTTTCCTGACTTTGATAGGTAAATGCAGTGCAAGAACACCCGTATACACTACTTTGGAGCTTGAAAATTCTAACTTCAATTAATTGGATGTCCATAACATACTCTAAAGCTTCATTTCCAATTATCTCTTTCACCCCTGATACAAAAAAGATTAATTTCCAATTAATTGATCGACAAAACAAACAGCGCATTTTGCTGGATAGGTAGTTTGACTGAAGGTGGTGGAACTAGCAAAATCCAACCCTTCACCATTAACATTGCTGAAAACATAGACAAAAGATTACAGGAATCCTTCTGAAGCGAGGGTTCCACAAACCAAAAAAACAAAGCCATCTTCAACTAGTCTTTGTGGGAAAAAAAAACAACAACCAAATCCCTAATCATTCCTGAATCAAGTCCCACCCAATTGAAGGCATTGTAGGTGGAAACAGATTGAAAACCCACGCACATTTCACCCGATACAACCATTAGCATAAAACACAGCTGTTTCCAAGTATCCAATTACCCTAATCTATCTAAATTGAAACAAAGTAGGGATTATCGAGTAACAGGGAAACCCCGGTGACTTCTTCCTAATCTCAATCGCCCGAATCGCAACCGACTGAAACAGAACCATGACGCATAGAAGCAAATCAAATACTGACAAACGCGTACAGTGGAAAATTCGGATGTTACCTTCCCGGAGATGTCGCCGGGCAATCTGTAAGCTCACCGGAGAACGCGAAACAACATGCGGGCGGGCGAGAGCGACTGTCCTTTCACCTAATAACCGGAAGCCCTCCTCTCCCCCGTTTCCTTCAATTTTTCCTGTTGGCATGATCTCTTGAAAGGCCCAATATACAGAAGTCCATCGCGCTAGAAAAGATTGGGCCTTCATAAGAAGTCCTTTCCCAATGGGACCAGGTATCAGTAAAGGCCTGGCCCAACTTCATACTAACAGCTCAACTACTCTTCTGGAGCATAAGTGGTTAGCGAGTTAATCTCCATAAATATGGCTGTGTATTTCTTTCACAAAGAGAAGGCGGTAACTAAAAAGGAGTTGCGCGATGACAGTAGCAGTTGGGTGAGAGGTTTTGTGTCGAGACTGGGGTCGTGCTCGGCTGCTTTGGCAGAACTGTGGGCGATTTACCATGGGTTGAAGCTGGGATGGAATCTTGGATACAGAGCCCTCATCATCGAAACAGATTCGCAACTAGCCATCCAGTTGGTGAAGAACAGAATGGACCCTTTGCACCCGTATGCAGCTTTGCTCACAGCGATCCGGAGAAAGATCTCCCAAGACTGGGTGGTGAATATGGTACATGTATACAGGGAAGGGAATAGAGTCGCGGACTAGCTCTCGAAGCACAGTCTCGTCTATCCCTTTGGTATGCATGAATTGGATTCCCCACCGCAAGAGCTTCTCCCTCTCCTCCAGGATGATCAACCGGGAAGTACAACTCTGAGGAACATTGTAGTGAACTCTCCAGCCCCCTCCCTGTAACCCTTCTGTTTCTGCTTGTACCCCCTTGTTCTTTCTTCTTCGGCCGTGGGCCTCCTCATATGCAAAAAAAAAAAAAAAAAACTAAAAAGGAGTTGCTAAAGGTGGCCTTTAAAATTGCTAAAGGTCGCCCTAAAAAGTATCAAAGTTACACTTTTAACCCCCTTACCTTCTTTACCTTCTCTTTAGCAAACAAACACCACTTGGACTAAAAAAACACTATCTAAGGAGAGAAAAATCCAGCATCGTCATTTTGAAGCCGATATCGTCGGTAGGACGTCTGAATCATGAGTAGCGACTCCGACGAGGTAAAAACATTAACTGAAAAATAAAAAAAAACACAGAAAATGGGAACTGCGGGTCACTTGCGGTTGGACCATGGCTGAACCGCAACTGAGCTGCGGTTGGACCATGGTGGAACCGCAAGTCACTTGCAGTTGGAGCTATTTCCGGAGGGATCAAAGGGAAGGAATGTTTTGACTACAGAGGATAAACAATACATCAGAGAGCTGAGATCAGCCGGTGTCTCACCAAGGAATATCCACAAGGCAGTGAATGAGAGAAAAGGTGCAAATGGAACACACAACAGAAAGCAGATTCATAACGAGTTGCAAAAGATAAGGAAAGAAGAGCTTGGTCAGATGACAGCCTTACAATATACTTTCTACGTGGCGCAGGAGAAGGGTTACTATGTGCAGTATATGGACGATCGTAACGTGCTTACACACTTGTTCCTAGCCCACCCCGAGTCAATAGTGATGTTGCGAGCTTGGCACCATGTGATCGTGATAGATGCAACATACAAGACCAATAAGTATGATATGCCTTGGGTTGAGATTGTCGGCATGACACCAGTGGGATTGAACTTTGTCATTGCATCTGCAATAGTGTACGACGAGACGAAGGAGTCGTACTAGTGGCTTCTGATGCATTTGCAACATCTTCTTGGCACCATTGTTCCAGATGTGTTTGTCAGTGACAAGGCAGGAGGATTGGTTGAGACCGTGGGGGTAATGTTTCCATCATCTACTCATATATTATGTCTTTGGCATATAGATAGGAATGTGAGAGCAAAGTGTCTAGCGGAGGTGCGAAGGACGACTCATTGTGGTATAGATGTAGCCAAACCGACAGTGGATCATATCATGGCGTCTTGGCAACGTGCTGTATATGCATTGACCGTGGAAGACATGGATACTGCCTTAGACAATTTCAGACGTAGTTGGGGAGTACAGTACCGATGTCTTTGGGGGTATATGGCAGCTGAGTGGTTACCAGTTAGACACATGTGGGCTAAATGTTTTACCAATCAAGTGCGGCATTTGGGTAACACAAGCTCTAATAGGGTTGAAGCTGCTCATTCCTCCTTCAAGAAGTGGCTTCAATCATCTACAGGCGCAGTCGACACAGTTAGTCTCCTAATAAATCTTCATTGATACACACATAAGTTTTAGTAGTCTCCTAATTGTTCTTCATTGTCTGTAGGTATTCAAGAAGAACGATGATTACATTGAGGCTCAACACCTTCAAATCAGGAAGCTTCTAGAGGATTCCCGACAAAAGAAGCTGCTCCGAGCGGATGGAAAACCATTTCGAGAGTTGAATACGAAAGTCACTCTAGAAGCTCTGAGGTTGATGTTGTTCGAGGTAGCAGTGGATCCCAGGTACACAAATAGGTAACGCTGCACCTCCATCTCCTTAATCTTCAGCTCTTCCCCACGCACCAACAATCCCTCTGCATGGATAGCACCATTATCGTACCACTTAGACTTCCACTTACCACCAACATGAGCATCCACCGAAAGTCGAACTAGACCATCCATGCCTGACTTAAGAATATCCGGCGACGCCTCATCTCCCATTAGCTCTCCATCAACCGGAATACGAAGAATGTGATGCACATCGTATAGAAGGATCGAAATCTCTCCAAATGGCATGTGCAAGGTGTTTGTGTCCGGCTGCCACCTCTCCACAAATGCCGACAGTAGAGCCATGTCTAAATGCTGCATCATGCACCCTGTCAAGTGAGACATTCCTGTGGCTTCAACCATCTCCTTGGAACCCTCTGCACTCCACTTATATCGCCTCAAAGTCTCTACAGCTTTCGGCCTATGGAAGCCGTCCAACACTCCACGGTCCTGCTTAGGGGAAGTCCACAATACAAAGCCAATGTGACCTCCAAAGCTAGGGATCACATCGGGAATCACTGGTCCACCTGAACACATCTGAGACTCGGATGTAAGAAACCACGACATATCTTTCCTCGTGGTCTTCCTCTTCCTATTTCCATCTCCGCCTTCCTCGCTACTAGGTCTGGACGCATGGCGTCCATCGGGCCCACGGAAGTGTGAGGAGGCAGTAGAAGATATCACGACCCGCGCCGTCTTCCCCACGCCTAAATCAGCTTGAGGTGGGGCATCCCCAACCTCAGCATCATCACCAGCATCACCAGCATCTGGGGCATTCACAACCTCAGCATCACCGTCATCATCATCATCCTCGTCAATGGAATCACTCCAATTAGCCTGCCATCCCGGTGCGCTCTCTGGTGTAGGAGTACTGGTAGTACCTCGACTAAGAGACAACTGCCCCACAGTAGGGTGGCCGCCAGGACGCACTACGTCCGCCTTCTTCTTCTTCTTCCTTCTAACCTTAGGTGGATTTTTTTCTTCATTTTCCTTCCTACCAGTCCCCGTAATTCTACCCCGACGACCTTCCATTCTCTCCTTATTTCTCGTCTTAATCATATCCGGTTTACCCATTCCATGTCAAAACATCTTAAAAAAAGTTTGAATTATTAATAATGGAGTACATAAAGTAATTAATTTAATATTTTCATAATTAAAATTATAAAATTAATAGTTTGAACATTTATGTTACGTTCTATGTAATAATTATTTACATAAAAGTAAATAATTAATCAAGGTAAAATTATTAATAATTAAGTAGATAAACGAATTAATTTGAAATTTTGATTATTAAAATGATAAAAATACATTTTTAATTTTTTAATAATGTTCTTTAAATTTGTTATCATTAATTAACATTTATCGAATATGTTTTTAAAATTTTTATATCATTATTAACAAAACATATAACTAAATTATTTTTATTAAGTATATTTTTTTAATTTTTTTTATTATTATTAACATTTATCGAATAATAAAAACACAGAATTAAAAAAAACAGAATATTAAAAAAAAAGAGGTCAAACCGCGGTCAACGCGCGGTTGGACCGACGGGATACCGCGATTTGACCTTGCTTTCAATTCGGTACCTTCTTCTCCGGCGACGACGCGAGGAACGACGACGGCGACTAGCGACTGACGGCAGCTGGCGACGGCTGGCGGCGAATGACGACGGACTGCTGACGCGAGGAACGACGGCTGGCTGGCAGCGACTGACGACGGACTGCTGGCGCGAGGAACGACGGCTGGCGGCGACTGACGACGGATCGCTGGCGGCTACTGACGACGGAGCGATGGGCGGCGGCGGCGAGTGCGGGCGGCGGCGGCGATTTGCACAGGTGGCCGGCGGCGGCGAGTTGCAGAGGTGGGTCGGCGGCGGGTGAGAGGAGTTGAGGGGGGAGGGGAATGATTTTGAATTGAATAAGGGCTTGTTTGTTTAAGCCAATTTTGAGTTTTTCCTTAAGGGTATATAGGTAATTTTACATTTAAGTTAGGGCGACGCTTAGCAATTCTTAGGGCGACGTTTAGCAATTCTTAGGGCGACGTTTAGCGATTCAGACTAAAAATATGTCTCAAGGAAAGTCAAGTGTTTATCCCTTAGGAGGGTCACCTATGCGTCTCGAACAGCAAGGGGCAGATGGGAGCTCGTACCAAAAAGGATTGAACCGCTCAACATGCTAAAAGCCAACTCGTTAGCCGCTAAAATTCATAGATTTTCTCGCATAAGGGACAACTGTTGGGCCATGTGTTGAGTAATACTGGGCTTCAAGGCCCAAGAAAAGCCCAGCTAGTTAGGCCCAGTGAAAGTAGAGAAGGGCGCTCACCGTGGGTCTGCCTATCTTCGCTTATAACAACACTCATTGTGTCCATATGCGATCTGTCCTCGGATGGGACATGAGCTAGACCGCCTTACATAAAGCACCAATGGGTGACAAGAGGTAAAGATCTGAAGTGATACTTACCTCGACGTGGGTATGACTGAGCATTAATTGCCAGCCGTAGGCAGCCTCCTAGTAGATGGGGCGTGCTTAGGGCACCTAACATGACATTTAATGTCCTAATTAAGCTCCATCTAAATAGGTTTAAATATCCTTGTGAGAGCATTGATGGTAACTCAATTAC